CTGGCGAGGCGGACCGCCGGCGCCGCTCCGGCGGCGGCGCCTGGCGCGCGCGGCCCCTGTGCGGCGGGACGCGCGGGGCGCCCGCCGCCCGCGGCGACGCGAGGGCCGCGCGCAGCAGCGGCGGCACCGCGGCGCGCCCGCTGGCGTCGGGCCCGCCCGGCGCGACGTCGGGCGCGCGGCCGACGGCGCCCTCGCGGCGCGCGCCGCGCGGCGAGCAGTCCTGCAGGGAGGGGCAGCGCCAGCGCAGTGCTCCCCAGACGTGCCCGCGTCGTGGCAGGATCAGCACGGGCGGCTTGCGGCGGGCTGCGGCCTCGTAGGGGGGCCCTCGCCAGGCCCCCGGGGCCGTCAGAGAGCGGCTCGGGAGGAAAGGCTGGCCCCGGGGAAGAGGTCCTGACCTCAGGGGGCCCTGCATCGAGAAACTCAAGAGGTCGGATGTCTGCGGACGGGCCCCTCGCAGCGCGCGCTGAGCGGCGAGAAGCCGTGCAGGGAGGGGCGCGCCCCTTGCAGTGCTCCAGCCTCGATCCTGGCTGGGCAGGCCCCTGGACGGCGCCAGCCGTGCTGGACACCAGCAGGGCGCACGCTTCCCCCCGCACGCGCGCGCGGTGGCACGCGCGGCAACGTGCGACAAGCTCGTCTCGTGTGCGGCTGGCACCGCCCAGAACCCCAGACATCGGAGCTTGCGGAGACCGCCGCGGCGCTCCCGACCCCAGCCTGGAGCAGGACTGCCAGGTCGGTCCGCGAGGGCCCCCGTACACGAGACGGCGCAGGAGCGTCGCGTGCGCTGTGACCTCCGCGCGACGCCCCGACGTCAGGGGTGATCCTGGGCCCGAGGCTGGCCGGGCCATGATGGGTGGCGGCTTATCCTGCGTCTTCCAGGGATCTCCTACTCCTGCTCCTCCACCACCACCACCACCACCACCCTCCCCCCCTCCTCCTCCTTCTTCTCCTCCTTCTCCTCCTCCTAATGCTCCTCCTCCTCCTCCTCCTCCTCCTCCTCCTCCTCCTCATCTTCCGCCTCCTCCTCCTCCTCCTCCTCCTCCTCCTCCTCCTCCTCCTCCTCCTCCTCCTCCTCCTCCTCCTCTTCCAAGAATATCATCTGCCTCGCCGTGCCGGTGCCCGCGCCGAATCCGCGCCCAGAATCCACTGCAGAACTTCGAGCCCGCACCGAATCCGCGCCAGCTCCGCCCAGCCCGCGCCAGGCACAACACACCACCCCGCAGCCTGCAGGGCGCACAAGCGCCGCCCCAGAGGCAGCGTCATCGGGTGCGCCGCAGTGGGACCGATGCGCATCGTGGCCTCAGGCATGTGCGCACACTGGGGGGGGGGCCACGGGGCGCATTGAGAGAAGAAGAGCGGCGCATGATATCATGGCCCCGTCCATGACATCTGCCGCCCCCCCCCCCTGGTCCTGGCCCACTCATGGACGCCCCCGGTGAGAGGCCCGTGGGCGCCCCCGTTGTTCGAGGCCCATCACAGTGGGGTCCGGGCAGATGGGGTCGGAGGATCGCGCCGCATCCTCGATGCATCGCCGATGCATCGGCTATGCATCAGCAACGTCGGCGTGGAGGACATCGGGCTCCACATCGAGGCGCATCGCCAACGCATCGGCGACGCGGCGCGATCCTCCGACCCCATCTACTCTGGACCCATTTGGGAGGAAGACCGTCGCCGTTCCCATCAGACGCAGGAAGAAAAGGAGGAAAGAGGAGGAGGACGAAGAGGAGGAGGGGCGACTGCATTCGAACCGAACTCCGAAGCCGTCAGCGAGAGCGACAGGAGGAGGAGGAGGAGGAGCGTCAGGGAGTCGAGAAAGAAGGGGAGGAGGAGTATGAAGAGGAGTCAAGTTGGCCAGGTTGAACGAATCAACGGGCGCCGCCCATTACCACCCTCCCTCCCGCACCAAAAGACTCGAGTGTCGCACTTGAGGAGAACCTCAGAAAGCACGAGGAGAAGGAGCATGAGGAGAAGCAGGAAGGAGGGAGGAGGGGGAGGAGGTTGGAGCGTCTGGGGGGAGCACGTCTCCTGGCCACGCTACCGCCTCCTACGGCCTGATCTGCCGAGGGGCAAATAAACAGCCTGCAAAGCCGCTCCCGCCAGGCTTCGAGGAGGAGGAGGAGGAGGAGGAGGAGGAGGAATAAGAGGAGGAGGAGGAGGAGAAGGAGGAGGAGGAGGAGGAGGTCGAGAAGAAGGAGGAGGGTGGGAGGGAGGGAGGGAGGGAGGGGTATGGGCGACGAGGAAGGGATACCGGTATCCAACCTCATACCCCTCCTCACTCCTCTCTCCTTCCGCCTCCTCCTCCTCATCATCATCATCCTCGTCGTCGTTGTCTCCTCCTCCTCCTCCTCCTCCGCCTCCTCCTCCTCCTCCTCCCCCTCCTCCTCCTCCTCTTCCTCACCCATCGCACCTCTCCTCATTCTATCAACTTCCTCCTCCCTGGACCTGGGGGGGTCAGTGGAATCGCGGACGCCTCTCCAGGAGATCTCAGGGCTGTCGGGATTCCTTGTGCGGTCTTCGAATATCTGGTTGCTGAGATTTCGGCTTCTCTGGCCCCTGGGAACTTTTTGAAAATTCTGAAATTCTCGAAATTCTCGAAATGTTCAAAATGTTTGGAATGTTGGAAATTAACGGCAAATTTAAAGTTGCAAAATTCTGAGGGGGTTGGAGTTTTCGTGGATCCTGGTCTGTCGATGGTTTTTACTTGGACCAAGGGGCTACAGATTAGCATGTACAGTCAACACGCCTCCAAGATGCAGGCGAGCGCATCGCCTTGCATCTTCTCTGTACTGCGGCTCGAGCCTCCCTTCTGAAGGCTCAAGCTCAAGCCAAAGCGGGCGTCCCCGCCGTGGCTCCGCGCGCCTGCGCCTGACGCGCGCCCTCGGCTCAAAGGAGCGGCCTCTGGCCGCGCCCTCACCCGTCTTGGGTGGCCCTCAAAGGGTCTTGCATTCGGCACGGACCTACCCCGTGCTGCTGAGAAGCGCGCCTAGGTGCGAGCCTAAACTCGCATCCGAGCGGAACGCTCGGATAGGCATCCTGCCTGGAACCAGCCGCGCGGCCCATGCCGCTGCAGCCAGCCCCTCACTGCTGGCCATGTGCTGGCCGCCGTCCCTCGTCAGACGGACGATGAGGTCCGCCTTCAAGCCGCCCACTGGCAGCTTCCGCCACCTGAGCTCCTCCTTGAGCTCTGCCACGGTGGCCTCAGCCAGCATCTTCCCGAGGTACTCCGTACCGAGGTCTCGCCCTTCGGCGACCCGCTCAGGCGCAGCTATCGCCGCTGCCCGAGAAACGACATGCCCCTCAGGCGCGTCCTTCGACGCCGCCTCGGGCCTCGCCGTGCCGTCGGCCCGCGGGGCAGCCCTCGCCGCTCCCGCTGGTGGGGCAGCACTCGCCGCCCTCGATGAGAAGAGCTGCACCGCCCCTCTCGTGCACACAACTGCGCCCTTGACCACGAGCACCAGCACGATGATGAACATGATCATAGCGAGAACGATCGAGCCGATGTTCGACTCGACCTCGTCGTCGGCGGCTGCGGAGCACTGCTTGTCTCCATGCTCGGCCGCCTCTGCGAAAGTGACGCCCACACCTGCGGCGAGCCCCTTGGTCAGAAGCCGCAGGTTGGACATCTCCAGCAACTTGAGCACCCGCTTGCCGTCCAGATGCTTGGTCCCCAAGTCGCTCCTGTTGCTCTCCGTGTCGACCCGCCCGAGCTGTAACTCGCCGAGCCTGACTCGTTCCTGCACCCACAGGTCTCGTATCTGTAGATGCCGTACTTTACCACTGCCGATCCGTGTCGCGATCGCCCTGCCTGCATTCGAGTCGCTGTGAACCTTCGACGCGACCTCGATGCCACACTGCTGGTAGAACTGCCGCATCATGATCGCACTCGCCGCGCCTCGGCCGATGGCGTAGAACTCGGCCTCTCTGCTGCTGAGCGCGACGACGGGCTGCGATGCCACCTGGGTCTCCAGAAGGTGGCTGCCAAAGAAGCCGTATACGGAGCTGGTCGATTTCCTCGTGATCTCATCCTCTGCCCAGTCCGAATCCGTCTCGTAGAGAACCTCCTTGGGCATCTCCTGCTTCTCGTAGAACCACCCGAGCTCGCGCCGACCGTGGAGATACCGCACGCACCGCCTCAGCCTAAGCATGCTGATGACTGTGGGCTTCCCCATGTCCGTGAGGATCACCTTCACCGCGAACTGGATGTCTGGCCTGTCTACCGCCACGTAGTTGACGAGCCCCGCGACCTGCTGGTAGAGCTTCGCCTCGTCGTGTGGAAGTGGGTCCAGCGCCTCCCGGACGCTCTTGCCCGTGGCCTTGCTCCCAGGCGTGTCCGCTGGCTTGCACTCCGTAAGGCCCAGCAGCTCCACGCACCTCGTCACGTGCTTCGTGTCGCCGATCCAGACGAACCCCTTGCCCGTCCACCTGATCTTGCGCTTGAGGTACGGGAGCTCACGGACGCCATCCGGTCCGACACGACCGATGCACTTGACGTCCATGCTCGCCATCAGCTGCTGGTCCAGGACATCCAGGGACTCCTCCTCGCCCTCGGTCAGGATGTCGTCACCGTGGATCGCCGAGGTCATGTCCAAGAGAGGCTCGTGGTACACGCCCGCCGCCACCGCGATGCGCGTCCAGTTGTTCTTCTTGAACACCCCGGCCACGTACTCCTGCCAAGCCTGTGCCGCCTTGCGCGTGCCGTACATGGCCTTCCGGAGCTGCCACACGTACCCGTCTCTCCTGAGTCCTGGAGGCGGGATGACGACGATCCACTCGTCGAGGTCGGCGTGGAAGAACGCCACGTGTACGTCATGCACCGAGAGATGCCTCCGACCCTTCTTCGTAGCCGCCAAGGAGACGATCGCCCTGACGATGGCGATCGGCGGCGTGCCCGCGTTGCAGTCCTCTCGGCCGTACGTGTTGATCTCCATGGCGACGCCTCGGGACCGGACAAAGGGGGTGCCGTCCTTGGTGCGCAGGTCCTCGACCCACTTGAAACGCACCACCTTGCCCCGGCTCTCGGCCACGCGGACCTCCTCGAAGACGCCGTGTCGCCGCATCTCCTCGATCTCGGCCTCGCGCCCGCGCCTGACCAGGTCCCTGGGGAGCTCCTTCCCGCTCCTCGCGTCGTACACGTGCTTCTCCGTGTCTGGCAGGACCGTGATCGCCGACGGCTCGACGGGGCTGACCTCGAACATCCCAATCTCCAACGGCTCGCAGCTCTCGATTTCCGTGACCGTCTCGAGCTCCTCGTGGGACTGCTGGTCCAGGCCCTCGTACGTGCAGGGGTTGATCTCCACGAAGGCCCCGACCGCGAGCGACCCGACTGTGATCGCCGCTGTCTGGCGCGGCCTCTTCGCCGACGCCTCGCCCTGGTCGTCACGAGGTGCCATGCTGGCGTCCCCGGACGATCCTGGCCTGCCGTCTCCAGCTCCAGCCGCTGGCCCCGGCGCGGCTCCCGCCGCCGCCGGCGTCGGCGCAGCCCCCGCCGCTGCCGACGAGGGCGCGGCCTCCGCCGCTGCCCTGGCCATTTCCTCCTTGCGCAGCTCGTTCTCGATCCTCTTCCGGCACTCCTCGCTGTGCGATCCCATGCCTGTGACGCACCTCGGGCACATGGGGGTCCAGCCGTACTTGTCGATCAGCGCTCTCGTGATGTACGTCGACCTCAGCCCTGCGCCTCCTGGCCCCGTAGGCGGCGCCGGCCCGACCATCGCTGGTGGCACCAGCGCCTCCGGGCCCGCGGCTGGTAAGACCACTGTCGGTGGCGGAGGTGGCGGCAGCAGCCGCTGCTGGTTCGGCTCCACCTGGGGAGCTCCCGTCGGCACAATGCCGATCTGTGGAGCCCGGTGCATGTCCCACGGCACCCCAGCGAACTTGTCCAGCTCCTCCAGCATGAACCGCTCGCTCTCCGGTCGCCGTCTCACCGTGCGCACCCTCGTTGTGCGCGTCGGACCCGCCACCAGGTGCTCGTCCGAAACCTCTGTCTTGCCCAGCCACACCGCCGCGTGCCACCGAGGCTGCAGCTTGGAGGTCGGCGTGGGGTCCCTCGCCCAAACGCACTCCGCGAAGTTGACGAGCTCGCCCCGATACGGCCTCCCCTTGAGCACCTCGTAGGTCGTCTTGCCGTTGCCGTGCACCGTGAAGCGGTTGAGCTGCCAGCCAGCGTGCCGAATGAGCCAAGGCAGAAGCCCATGCTCGGCTGGGAGCTCCCGCTTGTAGTTGTCACCCACCGAGAACAGTAGCGCCCTGATCTGCTTGCCGAGCTCCTCGTTGGCGCGCTCCACTCCACCAACTCCCTGATGGTTAGCCCGCTGAGCCGACTCGATCATCGTGGGCGCCTTCCGCTGAGCCTTGATCTCCCTCGCCAGGGCCGTGATCGACGCCTCCTGGTCGTGCTTCAGCACGATGCGATCCAGCCCCCAGTTCTCGATGGTGGCGACCGCTGTCTTGACCATGTAGGCGTCGGTACCCTTCGGCCCCATGATGCCATGAATAGCCTGGGAGTTCATATGCACCATGTTGAGGATGCTCAGCTGGCCCAGGAAGTAGTAGTCGATCTGGACCTCGTCGCCTGTGCGCTCGTGCCCGTCCTTGTAGTGCGGGTCGTCCGTGAACTTGGATCTGACGCACACCCAACACCAGGACCTCGCAGGGATGTGCACCAGCTCGTGCGTCCTCTGCTCGGCCAGGCTTGGCTTCACTGGATCCTTCTTGACTCGAACTGGCACGGACTCCTCGAGCACTGCCTGCGCTGCTGGCTCGCTCGCCTCGGCCTGAGCGCGAGTCGCGGCAGCCCCTCCGCCGCCGCCGCCCTGGAGCGCGGCCCTCGCCGCTGCCCTGGACGCAGCTGATGCGCCGCCAGGCTCGCCTCCTGGCTCCTCGCCCCGCACCGGCATGACGAGCGAGTTCTTGACGCCTTCACCGTACCTGTCCATCTTGAGGTAGAACAAGTCGTTGCGTCTGACCAGCGGCACGGCGTCTGGGTCCGAGAACTCGATCGGCTTCGGGATCATGTAGCTCCCGCTCGGCGTGAATACCCACGACGTGCCCTTGTCGACCGCCTGCGACACGCCCAGCACCGGCCTCTTGACGTCGGCGACCTTGTAGTCCACCCCGATCTTGTGCCCGCCCTTCGCGTACGTGACGAAGCGCTCGCCGTGGCACGGGATGTCGTCGCCGCTCGCTCCGACCAGCCTGATGCGCTCGCTCAGGTCTCTGAGTGTCTCGTGGGCCCCGTGACTCGGCGGACACACCGATCGCGCAGCACCCGAATCCACCATGACCCAGTGCTCATTGATACCGATGATCTCCTTGCTCTCGAACGTCTCGTGCTCGTTTGCTGCCCCTGGGTGACTCAGCTGCTCGATCGGGCTGGCCCCGACCAAGAATGGCTGCCTCGGCTGCGCGTGCTCGTTTGACGCCTCTGGCGGGCTCAGCCGCTCGATCGGGCTGGCTCCGACCAAGGATGGCCGCCTCGGCTGCTCGTGCTCGTTTGACGGCCCGCTCGAACGACGGTGGATCGCTGTCGTTGCTGGTGCTGAGGGCGTCGCTGCTGCTCCACTCGATGATGATTCTTGCCCTTCCCCCAGCTCGATCGCGAGGCACCACAATGGCTCTGCCCCGCTTTCGGTTGCGATCGCCATCACTGGCGCCGCGCTCCCCGCGGCGCTCGCCGCTGGTGGAGCTCCCGTCGGCTTCGACTCCTGCTCGACTGCGTTGGTGCCCTTCTTCTTCTTCTGCTCTGCGAGGAACTTCCTGCACTCGCTCTTGACGTGACCTGTCTTGTGGCAGTGGAAGCATCGTTTCTCGGCCCTGTCCTTGGCCGCCTGGCTCTTCTGGTCCGTGGAGTTGTCGTCGCCCTTGCCCTTCCTGCCCTTGCCTTCCTTGCCCTTCTTTCCTTTGCCCTTCCACGCCGCCTCGCGCCTCGCCTTCTCCACCGCGCTCGTGTCCATCGGAACTGGTGGCGGCACTGCTGAGATGGCGCTCCTCGTCGAGATCACCATGTGCACTTCGTTGCGCATGAGCTCCCACGTGACTAGCCTCGACGCGTTGTGGACCAGGTGCGCTCGAAGAGCCTCGTCCTGAATCCCCCGCTGAAGGATCGCCATCTTGATCCTGTCCCCAATCCTCTCGTGGCTCTGGCTCTCGTACTTCGTGACTTTGAAGTCGAAGTCCGCCAGCATCCCCACGATGTTGTCCTCTGGGAACTGGAACGCGATCAGCTCTTGCAGCAGTCCTGCATGGCGACCTGGTCTGTCGGGCTCGTACATGTCTTGCAACGTCCTCCACGCCCGATACCCTTCTCCGACGCCGACTGGCTTGATGAGCTGTAGTGCGGCTCCTTCCAGCAGCAGGACGAGGATGAAGTACAGCTGGCGACTGCGCTGACTCGCTCCCTCCTCCAGGAGTCTCGCGTTCCTCACTTCCTCCAGCGGGAACGTCATGGCCGCCGTCAGCTCGTTGGCCATCTGCTCGTCGAGAGCTCCGAGGTATGCGAGCATCTTGAAGCTCCACCCTGGCCACTCGTCCTCGTTGCCTCCGAACGCCTTCGGCTTCGCCAGAAGCCGAGTGTCCACCAGATCCTGAGGCGCGGCCCTCGCCGCTGCCACGGGCCTGCTCGCGGCGGCGCCTGCGCTCGCTGCTGCTGACTCCGCCGCCAGGGCGCGCTCCTCTGCAGCCTGCACCCGTTGTTCTGCAGCCTGCAACGCTCCCTCGAGCGCCTGGAAGCGTCTCTCGATCTCTTCCATACTTCAGATCGAGCTTCTCGTCGAACTTCCTACTCCTCAGGATGTCTGCCTTGTTCGACCTCGAGCCACGCTTCGTCTTCTTCTTCTTCGGCGGCGTGCTGGGCTATGAAGGGCCGGCTGGCGCGGCCCTCGCCGCTGCCAGCCGCCAGGGCGCGGCCCCCGCCGCTGCCCTATCGCGGGCGCGCGCGCCCGCCGCGGGTGGCTGGAAGGGAAGCGGCAGCGGGAACGAACCCACGCCGCTCCGCTACCATGTCGATGGTTTTTACTTGGACCAAGGGGCTACAGATTAGCATGTACAGTCAACATGGTCGCCTGGCTTCTCGGATTCTTTGGTCCCTGGGAACTTTGAAAATTTTGAAATTTTCAAAATTCCCGAAATGTTCAAAATGTTTTTTGGAATTTTCGAAATTCTCGAAATCTTCAAAGTGTTTGGAATGTTCGAAATTTACGGAAAATCAAAAGTTTCAAAATTCTAAGGGGGTTGGAGTTTTCGGGGATCCTGGCCGCCTGGCTTCTCATATTCTCTAACCCCTGGGAACTTTGAAAACTTCAAATGTTTCGAAATTCTCTAAAGTTTCAAAATGTTCAGAATTTTCAAAATTTTCGGGAAAACCAATCTGAGGGTTTGGAGTTTTCGGGGAGCCTGGTCGCCTGGCTTCTCGGATTCCTTCGCCCCTGGGAACTTTGAAAATTTCGAATTTCCGAAATGTTCGACATGTTCAAAAAGTGTTTGTAATTTTCGAAAGTCTCGTTTTTTTGTTTAACACAAAAACTTTCAAAATTCTGATGGTCTCGAGTTTTCGGGGATCCTGGTCGCCTGGCTTCTCGGATTCCTTGGCCCCTGGGAACTCTGAAGATTTCGAAATTTTCGAAATGTCCACAACGTTTGGAATTTTCGAAGTTCTCCAAGAAAAATCGAAAGTTTCAAAATTCTGAAGGTTTGGATATTTCGGTGATCCTGGCCGCCTGGCTTCTCAGATTCTCTGGCCCCTGGGAACTTTGAAAATTGCGAAATGTTCACAATTCCCGAAATATTCAAAGAGTTTTAAGAATTTTCGAGATCCTAGGAATGTTCAAAGTGCTTGGGATGTTCGAAATTTACGGAAAATCGACAGTTTCAAAATTCTGAGGGGGTTGGAGTTTTCGGGAATCCTGGCCGCCTGGCTTCTCGGATTCTTTGGCTCCTGGGAACTTTGAGACAAAAAAAAAACGAAATTTTCAAAATGTTGGCATTTTTTAGCATTTTAGAAGAAAAAACGACATTTCCACGATCCTTCTGGTTTGGAGTTTTCGGTGATCCTGGTCGCCTGGCTTCTCAGATTCTCTAACCCCTGGGAACTTTGAAAACTTTGAGTTTTTCGAAATTCTCGAAATTTCCAAAATGTTTAGAATTTTCAAAATTTTCTGTGGAAAGAAATTTGAGGGTTTGGAGTTTTCGGGGGTCCTGGTCGCCTGGCTTCTCGGATTCCTTGGCCCCTGGGAACTTTGAAAGTTTCGAATTCTCGAAATGTTCGGAAATGTTCAAAAAGTGTTTGAAATTTTGATATGTTCGTTTAAAAAATCGAATGTTCAAAATTCTGATGGTCTAGAGTTTTCGGGGATCCTGGTCGCCAGGCTTCTCGGACTCTTTGGCCCCGGGGGAGTCTGAAAATTTCGAAATGTTCGAAATGTTCAACATGTTTGGAATTCTCGAAATGTTCCAAAAAAATCGAAATTTCCAAAATTCTGAGGGTTTGGATTTTTCGGTGATCCTGGTCGCCTGGCTTCTCAGATTCTCTGGCCGCTGGGAACTTTGAAAATTTCGAAATGTTCAACATCCCCGCAATGTTCAAAGTGTTTTTGGAATTTCCGAAATTTTCGAGAGAGAGAGAGAGAGGGAGAGAGAGAGAGAGAGAAAAGAAAAAAAAAAAATCTGGGGGCTTGGAGGTTTCGGTGATCCTGGTCGCCTGACTTCTCGGATTCTCTGGCCCCTGGGAACTTTGAAAATTTTCATTTGTTTTTCAAATGTTCAAAGTGTTTGGAATATTTGATGTTTTTTACTGCGGGATTGGAGCTTTCGGGGATCCTGGTCGCCTGGCTTCTCGGATTCCTTGGCCCCAGGGAACTTTGAAAGTTTCGAATTTTCGAAGTTTTCGAAATGTTCAAAATGTTTGGAATGTTCCAAAATTTCGGGGGGGAAACAACACCACGCAAAAAAAAACTAACTTGTCAAGTTCTGAGGGTTAATAGTTTTCGGGGTTCCTGATTTCCTGAAGTACTAGAGCCAACGGAATTGTATGTAACTGTATGGTTTTCTTGAATGTCGGTGGATCCTGGAACCTCCTGGAGCCGTCTGGGACCCCCTGAGACTTCCTCGGTCCTCCTGTAGCCTCTGGGGAGGGGAGGGGAGTGGGGAGCAGAGGAGGAGGAGGACGCCCTCGTAGCATTGGGCAGAAGGCCACAGGATACCTCAGGATACGCCAGGAGGTCTAAAGGTAAAGTCAAAGAATGCCTCAGGATTCCGGGGTTTCTGGAGATCTGAAAATCGAGGGCCCAGGGTTTTTCAAACCACCGCGGCGGCTAAAACGCGCAAGAGCGCACTTTTTGATAAAAAGTGTTTCGGTGCGTGGCCGAAGCATTTGATGATTCTGGAGGCCTCTTGAGGGCTTCCTTGGGGGGCTCCGAGGGCACTTGGCGCCGTCCTGGGGCGATCTGGGGAGCTCTTGGATGCATGTTGATAGCTATCTTGAACCATTTAGGGCTATCCTGTGCGATCTTGGAGGTCATCTTGGGTTTTCTGGGACCCTCTGAGAGCCATATTGGCCGTCTTGGAGCTATCTTGGTGGCCTCCTGGGGCCCTTTGTGCACTGTTGCTTTTGAGTACACACGCACACACACACATATGCATACATACATGTTATATGTATATATATATATGTATTAGTAGATTAGTATATTAGAATGTTAACATAGTATGATATATGTGTATATATATATATATGTGTATATAAGAAGTTATGTATATATATGTATATTGTACTGATACATATATATACACTAATTTAAATACATGTAGCAAACTAGATGCACATTCTATTCCATATCATATAGCATACGAAGGTATGCGTGCATATTGACGGAGCAACCCTATGAAGTCCCAGTATAAATCAGGATGCTCCAAATGATTCCACATTGTCCAAGGAGGCCGCAGGAGGCCACAGAGAGTCCCAGGACGTCCCAGAAGGCCCCACGATATCTCAGTAGATTACAAGAGTTATCAGGATATCACAAGAGGCCCCAGAAGGTCCCAGGAGGCCCCACAAGGCATCAGGAAGTGCCAAGTGGGCCCAGCAGGTCCCATAGGGCCCCAGGAGATTCCAGGAAGCTTCAGGAGGCCCCATGGGCTCCAGAAGGCCTCAGGAGGCCCCATGGGCTCCAGGAGGCCGCAGGAGGCCCATCAAGGGGGATACCGGTATCCCCTCCTGGTCGCCCCGACGGGAGGGAGGGAGGGAGGGAGAGAGAGAGAGAGGGTGGAGGAGGAGGGGGAGGAGGAGGAGGAGGAGGAGGAGGAGGAGGAGGAGGAGGAGGAGGAGGAGAAGGAAGAAGAGGAGGTGCAGGAGGAGGAAGAGGAGGAGGAGGAGGACGACGACGACGGTTCTGGGCGACTCAGGGTGAAGACAGCGTGAGTCTCGAAAAGACGAGGCCGAACGACTAGCAAACTGCACCATAGCTCCTGCGCGCCCAGACTCTGATGGAGCCCCTGAGACTCCGCATCACGGACCGCACGGATGGGGTCGGACGGGTGAGGGCACCTCCCCGTGCGAACGTCGGACAAATTCTGCCGTCCCTTGGGTGAGGGCTCGCGCCGCTTCATGCGCTGGAAGGGCTCGGTGGTGCCCGCCTTGCCGCAGACCGAGCAGAAGGTCGAATTTATAGAGCCGCCAGAGAGGAAGGCCGTGGGAGCGGTGCAGCGCTTTGCGACCCCCGCCCGCTGGGGCCCCCGAGGAGGCGAAGACTCGAGGATGCATTCAGGACTGCAGCGGGTGGCGCACGAATGAAAAATCGGATCCTGATTCGAAAACGGGCGGCACGCACGGCGGTAGTATGGAGCACCAGCCCGACCCCACAAGTGCTCCGAGTCTCTCAAGGCTCGCGCCAGCTTCGGCAGCGGGGTCCCCCCCCCTCTCGATCGAGGCGCTCGATCGAGTCCACGCATCGGCTTGGACACTCGCAGCCAGAGCTCTTCACGCCCGACGTCGGACCAAGGCCGCCTCCGCGTCCCGAGCGTCCGTGAGAGGGGGGCGGCCGAACAACGAATTCAGACCAAGTTAATGCAGCAGCCTCGGAGGCCAAGGCGTCAGCACGCTCGTTACCGAAGACAAGGAGGCGCCGGGCCTAAGGCAGGCGGGCCACCCCTCCCTCGCGAGAGGGGGCCGAACCAGCTCCATCCTACCCAGACATCCTCGATGCGTAGGCCCCGGCGGTCTGGACCACCTCCCCAGGGCTGGTTTCCCGCCCTGTGTCGTCATTTTGACGCTCTGGAGGCCTGGCGAGGGCCTCTGGAGGCCGAAGACTGCCAAAATCCCACCGCTCCGAATTTTCTGGAGCATCGGATCTCTGAGCGACTGGCCCGCGGGCAGAGGTCGCGGCCCGGATCCCAGATCCCTGAGGTCTAGAAGTGTTCCCCGCCGCGCGAACCGGAGCGCCCAGGCTCGGCCCGCGGTCCCCGACGAACCTCGCGTGCCCAGCCGCGGCCCAAAGAGCCTCCGAGGAATAGGAGGAGGAGGAGGAGGAGGAGGAGGAGGAGGGGAGGAGGAGTCAGGAGGAGGAGGAGGAGTCAGGAGGAGGGAGGAGTCAGGAAGAGTCTGGCGGAGCAGGAGGGAGGAGGAGGTGGAGGAGGAGGAGGAGGAGGAGGAGGAGAGGCGGAGGAGGAGGAGGAGGAGGAGGAGGAGGAGGACGGAGGAATAGGAGGAGGAGATAGGAGGAGGAGGAGG